AGGACAAAAAAAGGGGGGGCTTTCTATTTTGGGGGGGGGGGGGGGTGTTATTTTGGGGCTTTGCCAACCACTTTTGGTGCCGGAACAGTTGCTGGGCACTGGCACCTGTTCAGGATGCCCAGCCTGGGCCTCATGGCCACCTTTGGTAGCAAAGGCAGAGGTGAAAGGGCCTGAATGCTCCCCAGGGGGGTGTGTGGTGATGCTTTTGGCACAGTTCCAGAGGGCAGAGTGTGGATTAACCTGTTCTGAGACCCTGGCTCAGCAGTGGGAAGGTGGGGGTGGGGGATGCTCAGGATGCAGCCTTGGTGCTGTAACCTTGAGCTGAGCTGTGCCAGGCCGTGCAGTCAGGCAGGCTTGGGAACGTTCTGGCTGCTCAGGCAGATCCCTGTGTCTATATCCAAACCAGTGTTTTTGTCAGCAGGGTACAATTTTGCTAAAAATGGGATTTCTGCAGAAGGCAGAAACAACATCCTTCTGCCATCCAGCACGTCCTTTCAGCTCTGTGTCAGGAGGAGGCTAAAGGAGCAGCTGCTAAAATATTTATGTGTGCACAAAGTGCTTTATCTTCTCTGTCTTTCCCAGAAGTGTCAGGACTCTCTTGGAAAAAAATCACCCTCCTCTCCTCTCCCAAAATCTCAGTCTGGGGCAGAAATGTGGAGCCAATTGGTGGGGTGAGAGGTTTTGCCTTGCTGGGGGACTATCCCTGCTCCTGTTCTGCTGCATTAGCTGCCCGATGCAGCAGAGCAGACGCAGAAGCTCAGCACCCATCCTGGCAGGCACATGAAGGGCACACGACTGGCACAGGACAGGCACACAGCAGGCAAAAGGCTTGGCCAAGGTGGCATGTTGCAAGTTGTTGGAGTGTGAAATGGGCTGAGCTGCCTCGGGACACAGTGCTGAGAGCTGGGGGCAGCTGTGTCTCCAGGGGAGTGGGTTTGGGCTGGGCCCCACTGGCTCCTTCCAGCTGCAGCCAGTCCAGCTGGGATGCAGCTGGCAGAGGGTTTGGTGCCAGCAGTGCTGCCAACATCTCCCAGCTCCAGCTGGGTCCTGCTCTGCAGTGCCTGGCCCACAGCTGGGGAGGCAGGTTGGGTTGGACCCACTGACTCCATGTTTTCCATGCTCAAGCCCTTGAGACTTGTGGATTGGTGCCCATTTCTGTGTGCCCCCATCATCTCCATCACACCATCATGAAGTCATTTTACCAGCAGTGGAGATTCAGTACCAGGCATAACCAAACTGCGAAGTTCTTAGGGCTGCTCTGTTGTTTTTCCTTCTTAGAGACAAAAGAAAAGTCAATCTGGGCACCTTCCCAGCTTGTGGCCGCTGTGGCTCTGCCTGGCTTGGTGGGGGATAGGATTTAGGGTACCATGGCCACATCACTGAGCTGAGCTGGAATCCCTGTGTGTGACATCAGGCTATCATTAGATGTGACTGCTGGGTTAATGACCTTTCCTAATTACTGTGTCTAATGGTGAAGTCCCGTGCAGAGAGCAGTAAAAGTGTCTGAGATCCAGCTGGGCCGAATCCCCTGAGCGATGGGCAAAGCCACTTTGTGGGTGATGGTCTCCTGATCCCTGTGGATTAAGGGTTCCAGAGTGTGGAGGAGCTGTGTCTGAGCAAGCTGGAGGAGTGCTCTCTGGAACATGGAGCGTTTGGGAGAAGGTGGCAGCCAAGTGGCCTCCAGTGGTGTGCCTGGGGTGGGGAATGCAGCACTCTCATCCAGCCCTTCCTTCCAGCTGTAACCTGACTTGCCCCCCCGGACGCTACGGAGCCAACTGTGCCAATGTCTGCAGCTGCCACGACGGTGCCTGTGACCCCCTGACAGGCGCCTGCCACATGGGTGAGTGCCGGGAGCCAGGGGCTGGGCTCTGCCACAGGGCTGGCCCCGGGCTGAGCCGCGGCTCTGCCTTGCAGAGGCCAACCAGAGGATGGGGGTGATTGGGGCAGGGGCCCTCCTGGCGCTGCTGCTCATCCTCCTGCTCTCCCTGCTCTGCTGCTGCTGCGTCTGCCGCAAGAAGGATGAAGCCAGCAGGTGAGTGCAGGGGCCAGAAGGGATCTCGCTAGCTTGGGAATGTGGAAGATCGGTGGGTTCTGGGATTGACAGGGGGATGCAGAGACCATGCTGGGACAGCAGTTCTGCAGGGAAACTGAGGTAGAACTGTGCTGCCCACACGACACAGAGTGGGTACCTGGGTCTGAGCAGTCCTGCTGCATCATCAGGGCTGATGGAGTTCCCCTTCTGGGGGAACCCTTTCCTGTTCTCCCTTTTTTTCTCTCTTGTGGACCATCATTTCACAGAGACCTGCCAAGTCCACTCCAGTCTTTAGGGTCTGGAGCTGATCTGCAAAGGGGACCCTGAAATACAGCAAGGGCATCACGACATGGCCTAAGCCCTCAGAACAAACCCTTGAGCAAAGGGATGAGGCCTGGGGGACAGGGGGGATGCTGACTGTCCCACATGGGAGTGGATGATCAGGGCTGGGAGGGGGGGTTCCTGCAGCAAGGTCAGGATGCTAGTAGTGTTTTAGCAGCACCGGATTAACATCCTACCATGAGAATAGGAGTGGGGACAGACCCAAGGCAGGAGGAAAGGTTTATGCTGTTCAGCAAGGGATGAGAGAGCTGTTGGAGCTCCTCCAGATGCAGAGAAAACCCCTTTGTGCCATCAGCCACTGCACAAGAATCTTCCAGAAGCCTTTCCTTGCAGCCCTTCGAGCTCAATCCCAGCCAGGCACGGCTGGATTGGAGAGCCTTCAGGCTGCAGGTAATTATCCTGCAGATAAAGCACAAACCCATCAGGTGAGGAATGGCACAGGGAGAGGGGGAATGGCTCCAAATAGTTTCCTCTTTCCCAGGGTGCCCAGACCACAGTGTCCCCAGACTGCTGGATGACCTGTGGTGCTGTCCCAGTGTGGTCCCTTGCAGGGGATGGTGGCCATGGCACAGGTTCCTTTGAGTCAACTCACAAAGCCAGTCACTCCTGAAGCTGCAGAAAAGTGCTTGAAAACGTGGCCCCAGGAAGCTTCAAAACCAGAGAGCAAATAAAGAGAAGCCACATGTTTGGCTTTGGGTTGGGATTTTTTTTTTTATTATTTTTAAAGATTTGGGGTCTGGACCAGGCATTGCGGGTATTTTGTGACTGCACTGCCAATGGCCGTGGTTGGATCTGACCTTCCCACCATTCCCTGGTACTGCTCTACATCCTGCTGTGGTGCAAGCTGGTGCCTGGGGCTGGCAGCAGCTTCTGTGGGTCCTCAGTTCCTTCAACCTGGGCATGCATCTGCTTTTCATCCACCCCATTACCACTCTAAAACCCCTTTGCACTTGCAGCATCCCTGAGCTGCTGCCTCTCTCTGTTGCCCATGAAGGCTATCCTCACCACAGGAGGGGATCAGCGCCTCTAATAGTGCCATTGCCTTCTCTGCAGCTCCAGCCAGGACCCAGCAGCAGCCAAGAAACCTCCAAGACGTTTGTGTGGGCGGTTCAGTCGGATTGGGATGAAGCTCCCACGCATCCCCCTGCGCCGCCAGAAGCTGCCCAAGGTCATGGGTAAGGTGCTGGGTTTTGAAGAGGGCACACAGAGTCAGATTTTACTCCTGTCAGGGCAGCCTCTGTGGCTCACAGAAGTCTTTGCAGTCCCAAAGCAGGGTGGTGAGCATGGTAGGGCAGTGACAGGGACACATGGATCCCTGGGAGCATTTCAACGTTGGTATGAGCTGCCTGGCTCACAGGAGCTCAGCCCTTTCTGTCTGCAGCTTCTGGATTTCCAAGCACATTTTGCTTTGTGAGGATGCATGGTTCTGGAGCTCTACTGAGTAGTTTTTGGTTTACTCTCCTAAGGTTTCCCCTGGAGAGGAATGTCGCTCTCAGCAAGATGCCTTGTTAGTGCTTTTGATCCTGAAGTAATCCATGAAGTAATGATGCCCACCCTCCTGCCATGTGCAGCAGAGTTGAGGATGGAGGGGCAGAGATTTGGGTTGAGCTTCCCACTTTGCCCAGGCACATAATTGGCTTCTAGGGAGCTGCTCACACCTGGCAAAGCCCCTGACCTGGCACTGTCAGGGCTGTTGAAAGCCCCCTGCATCCCAGCTGCTGGGGAATGCTGTGCTGTCCTCTGCCCTCTCTAAACTCTCCTTGCACCTCTTCCCAGCATGGGGAGCTGGGGATCTGCTGCAACCCCATTGACTAAACTTTGTGTGAAGGCAGCAATCCCCACCCCGTGCTGGTATGTGTTTCAACCCCAGCCCTCTTCCTGAGCCCAGCACCTCCCTGGGCATGCCATGCTGGTGGAATCCCCAGAGCTGCCACATCCTAGCACACGGTGGCTCGGCGTGAGGCTAAATCCCACATCCCAGGCAGGACACAGAGGTGACCCCCATCCCTGCACAACATGCACAACCTTCAGCATCCAAGCTGCAGGGATAGCCCCTCACCACATGGGGCACAGCAAAGCCCTGCCTGGAGCAGGGTGTGCCAGGGCCCAAGAAATATTCCTATTCAAGGACAACAGAGGATCATAGAGGCTGTGTTTGTGGAAGGGGCTGGAGAAGGGCTTGGGGAGGACACAGGGTGCCTGTGTGCAGTGAGGGCAGGGGGGCTGCCTGCAGGCAGCTGGTGCCAGTCCAGCCATTCTGTGTACACAGAGCAGCAGCAGCCCCAGGAAAGGCTGAGGGTGCTCAGGATGGTCTTGGGTCCCAGCAGGGCTGGGGTATTCCTGGAGTCTGTCACAGTGCTGAGCTTTGTCATCTCCCTGGAGGGAAAGGCTTTGGTAAGGGCTTGCCTTGTGTTATCCAGCAGAGTGAAGTCCATGTGGGTTCCAGAAACTCCCAGTCCCACTGACACATGGTCTGGCAGTGCCTCCAGCCCCCACTGGCTCTGAGGACGCCAGGGGACCTGTTGGGTTGCCTATAGTAGCTGCATCCCTGATGCCCAGTCACCAGGGTGCCATGTTATGACCGCATCTGGTGCTGTGGAATCCACAGTATTCAGTATCCACTGGCCATTTGCTGCCCACATTGGTTCTGCCCAGGGGGGTCCCAGGGTTGCTGAAGTGCCCCATCCCAAGGGCCAGGTCAGGGCTGGAGGTGCTCAGGGCCTTGTGGGGATGTTACAGTGAAACTGGTGCTGGCTGATGCCCAGGCGGTGGTTGCTCTGGATCTGCCCACAGTCTTGGCCATGAGTTTGCTGACACCAGGTGGGTTTTCTTTTCTGGGCTCAAACACAAGCCTATTCCTGGTAGAACATTCCCAGGTGGGACTGCAGGTCTTGAAGCCCCACTAAAGCTCATCAGTTGCCTGGAGCCTCAGGTTCTTCCCTAAAAAGCTGCTCCTCAGCCTTGGCACCAGCTTTAGATCCACAGCATCTCCCTGGGATTGCACCTGAGCTGGCAGCCTGCAGGGCCACACCCTGGGCTCACACCAGCAGCTGTACGGCCAAAGTTTGGGTACCCCTGCATGTGGGATTTGCTCATCAGGTGTCAGTGGCACCAGTGGGGGTCTTGGTTATGTCACGTGAAGATGCCAGGGCTAACCTGAGCCCTGCACCCCACCACATGTCCTCTCCAAGCAGCAAAGCTTAACCAGCCCCAAGGGTGATGCCAATAGCGGGGAGCTTGGGATGAGTGGGAGGGGGTGCCCAGAAGGACTCTGGGATCCCTCTCTCATGGTACTTCTGGTGCTCTTCTCTGCCTCATCCCAGTCTTGAGACCAACTGGCCTCTGTGTAGGCAGGGTTGGGGTTGTCATCCTGATGCTGTGGCTCCAGGAGATTTTGGGGAGCAGTGACAGGTAGGGATATGTGGGAAGCATCCACATTTCTCTCAGCCCCAACAGCCAGGAAAGAAAAATCCCTGGCGACTATGCTGCAGTCCCCAAGCTTCCCGAAGCTTCCAGGTGCACTACAAATCCTCATTTTATAATCTGGCTGTGTCCTAGATCTCACTAGAGTCCCACAGTCACCTCGTGGCCATGAGTCCCAGCCGCTTGTCACGCCTCCTTCTCAGAAAGCATCTCCCTTCATCTGCTTCCAGACGGCTGCTTTTAATTTTCTCTTTTTGGTTTTTATTACAAGGAAAGCCATGTTGGAACTGCTGCTTCCCCCTCTCTGGGCCGTTTGCTCTTTAAATATCTCTGCTTGGGTTTTTTTTTTCCTTGATCCAAGAAGCCAAACTATGCAGGGGTGAGTGTGCAGCACTGCTGTCATTTTAACAGCCCTACATGTCTGAAGCAAGATTCCCTAGTAATGGATAAATGTTCCACTTTATGTTATTGGGGCGTCCCAATAACACTGAAAGTTATTTTATTATAAATCAGGGATGTGCTGCAAGGATCAAACAGTCCAGGCAGGCAATTGCAGCATGACTGGGATGCATTTGGGGTTGGGACGCAGTTGGATGTTCAAAGGTTAAAAATACCTGCGAATACCCATGTACAGCTGGGACCCTCCCTGTGCATGGCGTTTCCATAGAATCACAGAATATCCTGAGCTGGGAGGGACCCATAGGGATCATCAGTCCAGCTCCTGGCCCTGTACAGACACCCCAACAGTCCCACCCTGTGCCTGAAAGCATGGTCCAAACGCCCCTGGAGCTCTGGCAGCCTTCAGCCCGTGCCCATTCCTTGGGGAGCCTGGGCAGTGTCTGAGCAATCTCTTGGGACCACCCTTTTGCAGCCCTTCATCCAAGGCTCTACCTTGCTTCGGAGGCAGCTTGTCACTGTCCTAGGGGAAAAAGCCAGTGGAAGGGGATGGGGACAAGTGCATCTACTGCTGCATGGCTCTCTGGAAGGGTCAATCTCTCCTCTCAGCCGGTTGCTGCCTCAGTTCTGTGGGTACCCGAGGAGGATGCTAAGCTGTGGGCACCTGGGGAAGCCTCTCAGGATGTGTTGGGACATGAGCTTGTCCAGAAAAAAAGCCTTAAAAATTATCAAGATGAAAAAAAAGTCACTCCAGCCCAGACAACTCCTAGCTGCTCATCTTCTCTATTTTGTTTTATTAACACCATTTTTCCTCTGGTTGTTTCTCTCTTCCTCTTGGCTTCGCTGTGGGTGGCCTCTTGAAAGAGGGGCAGTGCCAGGGCATGAAGGGAGGGATACTCCCGCTCAGCTTCAGGAGAGGAGAAGCTGGCAAAGGGAATGAAAAGTAGCAGAATTGGGAAAATGTACAGCCCCCTGCTGCAGGCTTCCTTTCATCATCCTGCATCCATGTGCAAAATGGAAAAGGAAGATGCAATCAGTGATGCTGAAGTGGGAATTAGTGGAATTAAAGCCAGCAGCTAATTTTCTGCCTGCAAAGGGGACAGTCACAGTGCCAGGACCTTCTTTGCAGGCTGGCTGTGCCAGGTTGCACAGCTCACAGGTGACCACCAGGACACCCACCAAGTCCTCATGGGACCCAGGGTTTGGGTGGCTTGTCCCTCCACTATGTGCATCCTCAACTTGGGCAGCTGAAGACTGGGATAGATGGAAGTGTGAGGCTTGAACAGACTCTGCTGCCCACAGCCCAAGCATGGGGCCACAACTGCTAGCTGATGGCTTCTGTGACCACTTGGCTGAGGGACCTGGTGGGACTGTGCAGCAAGAGGTGTCTTGCCTTGCCTTGCCTTGGATGTTGTCCCTGTCCCTGACACCCATAAGGAAGCTGGGCAGCAGGGAGCTGTGCAGCATCTTCCCCTCCTGGCTGGCAGTGGGGACTGGGGTTCGGCAGAATAGGCACTGACAGCAGTTCCTTGCCCTCACAGTGGCCCACCATGACCTGGAAAACACCTTGAACTGCAGCTTCATCGAGCCACCCTCTGTGGTGGAGCAGCCTTCCCCATCCTGGTCATCCCGCGGCTCCTTCTCCTCCTTTGAAACCACGGACGAGGGGCCCGTGTACTGTGTCCCCCATGAAGGTGAGCAGGGAACATGGTTCATGCCCAGGGCATTTCAGGGGCCATACCAGGGGCCTGCTCAATGGAGAGGTGTCACTCTTACATGGTGAGGACCATGTCACCCTGGTTCCTTGTGACCCAGGAAAGAGTGCAGATTCCAGTCACACCACCCACACAGTTTCAGAGCTCCCTTCTCCAGCTTTTGCTGCTCCAGGGTTAAGAGCCAGGAGATCTCTGACTGGGAGGCTAACTGGGAGGACAGTGTCCTGCGGGAGCATCTCAGTCCTTCCCCTCCTCAGAGACATCCTACCTGACACTGCTGTGCTCTCTTCCCGCAGAGAGTATGGGTGAGAGCAGGGACAGAGGGACACCTGCCAGCCCCGGAGACAAGCTGGTAGCCTCGATCAGCGGGGAGGAAGCGGGCGAATACACGTTCCTGAAGGAGACAGGCTCTGTCAGAGCCTTCCCGACCGACAGCAGTGAGACGCCCCTGCTCAAGTCCTCGGACAGCGAACGCTCCTCCTGCGGCTCGGGGTCGGCCGGCGCCGCGCTCTACGCCAGGGTCGCCCGCCTTTCCAAGCAGTCCAAGGAGGAGGAGGATGCCACCGCGGAGCCCCGCAGCCCCGGGAAGCCACCATCCCCGGAAAGGACCAAGCCCCGTCCTCCAGACCCGGCCACGAAGCCCAAAGTCTCCTGGATCCACGGCAGGTACAGCTCTGGCCAGTCCAACTCGCTGCCGGTACCCAGCCAGTCCCCAGAGCAAGCGGCCGCCCGGTCCGGCAGCCCCGAGCAAGGCCAGGGCTTGGCCAAGAGGAAGAGGAGTCCGAGCGAGACGTCCGCCAGTGTGCAGGGCAGAGCGGAGGAGAAGGGCGGCGCCCGGGGGAAGGAGAAAGCGCAGAAGCAACCGAAGGAGCCCGGCGTCCCCGAGGGCAAATCCAGCCTCTGCGGGGAGCCCCAGTCACCCTCCAAACCCAAGCAGAGGAGCAAAGCCGGCTCGGAGCCGATGGAGACCATCAACGGAGCGGTGCAGAACGCCTTCCGAAAGATGAGTGCCTTCCAGCCGGAGCGGCGGGCCGCGGACACCAGGGATGCTCCGTGTAGTCCCGGCACCAGCAAATCCCGCTCCGAGCCGCTGCATCCCCAGCTGGCCTCCGAGCTGGCCGCCCAGCTGAAGGAAAAGACTCAGAGCCTCAACAAGGGGGACGGAGGCATCCGGGCGAACGGGGTCGGTGCCCAGCGGGAGAAGCCCACCCCTCCACAGAAAGCCAAGCGCTCGGCGGCCGCCGGCGGCCAGAAGACCAGCAAACCCTTGCTGCCCACCTCTCCCCATCTGCAAAAACTGATCCCTGCGGCGGCCGAGACGGCAGCCGGGGAGCCCAAGTGGGTGGAGAAACCAAGTGCCGGCAGCGGCCAGGAGCAGACTCTCCCCACGGAGCAGGCAGCCAAGAAAACCCCCATTAAGAAGCCGCCCAGGAAGAAGAGCCGGGAAGCGAGCCTGGAGCCGCCCAGGGCAGCTGCTGCTCCTGCTCAGGCAGTGCAGTGACCGGGAGCCGGGCACCGGCCCCGCAGCGGCCGCACACCGGGAACAAGGACATTTGCCAGCACAACCAGCGAACGTGGGATCCTGGACTGGGCTGGGGGCACTGGAAGAGCCTTGATCCTCCTTTTATCCCCCTCCACCTCACTCATCCCCCTTTTTGCCTTAGTTCCCCCTGACCTAGGACCCAGTCCCTTCATCTGTGCCCTGCTCCTGCTCTCTGTCCGGGCCTCAGTTCGCCCTCCCTCCCCGCGCAGGACGGGACCGCAAGGAGCCGGCCCCGCCGCCACCCCGGGGGACTTCGTGTGTGGCGTATCTCCCCCGCCCCTTTTTTTGTAGCAGTATTATCGACAGCATAAGCAGCGCTTGTTGTACTAGACGTGCCCACGGTATATTCTGCAGTAACCGAACCGCTCGCTTCCCGCGCTCCACTCCGCTCTGTCGGGGTCGCGGAGCACGGGAGAGGGAGGAAGCTGCTGCTCAGTGCCCAGCGCAGTGCCAGAGGTGTGCCCCACATCCATCGCTGGCAGCAGCTCCCCGTCCCGGCGCCCTCCAGGCACAGCTCTCCACTGCCGGTGCATGCCGGAGTGGGGTCGAGCTGGTTTCGACCGATGCCACCCTCCCACCCTCCGCCCCGGCGCTGCTCCTGGCCAGGAGGAAGCACTATTTATGGATGGAGCTGGACGCCCTTCGGGCTCCTGTATCCCATCCCGTGGAGTTGGAGGGATTAGTTTGATATGAGAGAGCCTGGCACCTCTGCAGAGCGCTTTCCTAATAAAAATGTATTTCTTCCATAGTTGGTGCCATCTATCCCTGTCCCAGCCTTCCCGTGGGCAGGCAACATGTGTAGGCTTGCTTGAGTGCTACGTGGTCCTACGTGGGATGCAGTGGGGAGATGGATGACATTGCAGCAGTACAGGCAGGTGGTAACAAGCAGCAGACAGGGTGGGAGGCAGGTTCCCTCTGGGGCTGCTGCTACACATGCTCACCTGGCATCAGAGATGAGCCCTGAAGACAAAATGAGGAACTTCTCTTCCCCCAGTTTCCAGCCTTGTCCCAATGGCTGACTGGTCCCATGGTCAGACACTCCTCAGTGTAGCCTGGGTCAGACCTTGAGGTTCAAGAAAGCTCTGGCCACAGCAGAGAGAGCCTACCCCTGGGTGCTCTGGGTGCTGGGACGCAAATGGGGGGGGGCATGGGGGTGCACAGCTCTGAGCCCAGCTTTCTAACCCCCTGCCCAGGGGTTGCCAACCCTATCAGCATTGGGTGTCTTCAAACAGCCCCAGGCACAATGCTGACAGAAGACAAGGCTGGGACAAGCCCAGGGGCAGCCCAGAAGCTGAGGATTCTCCCACACAGCTTCTGCCCAAGATTCCTAAGCAGGACTCTCCCTGACATTAGAATTGGGGCTGTCTGCTTCCAGGGGAGCCAGGAGCATTGGTGCCCACCACTGAGCCATCCTGAGCTGTTCCCAGAGTGGGGGATGATTGTCCCAGAAGACCACCAGACCAAAAGGTCAACACAGCAATCTAGGAGGTGATGGAGACAGCTGACAAATACCAGAATGGGATGAGACCACATGGGACCAGGACTGCAACCAGCCCAGCACAGCACTCAGGAAAGGATGGGGCTCTGGCCCACACCTGGCCATGGCTCAGCATTGTGTAGCTGGAGCCAGCACAGTACCTGCCACTGTCTGGAGAAGCATCATCACAGGATACAAAGCCGAAGAAAGACATCACAGCTTTGCTTCACAGGCTTCTGGTGACCTTTCAGGGTTCCTTCACTCTCCTTCCCCTTTCCTTCAGGATTTATTTGGAAAGGTGAAGGACAATGGCTGAAACTAGTCCTGGGACATCACACTGTGCAGAAAAAGGAGTGCATGAATGAGCTCAATGTCACCAGATACAAAACAGAGAAAATCAATAGAAAAATAGGGACACTGAATCTAATGAGACCTGGGATGGCATCCAAGTCCCTATCTCCACCATGGAGGCTGTTGTTGGAGAAAATGAAGAGGCTTCCAAGACACTCAGATTAAGCTACTCATAGGTTAGTAAAAGAGAAGTAAAGGAGTTGAATCCAGGCAATGAAAGTGCAAAACTAAATACAATTTAAGAGGCAAGGTTTGTCATAGACATCACATGGTCCTTATACACATCTCTTCATGTCAGTGCTGAAGAGCACCCAGGGGAGCCACCCTTGATGCTCATGACGGTGGCCCAGCAAGGTGAATTTTGGAACTGCCCCAGCCTCCTCTTGGGGCACTCTCACTCATGCAGGCAGCAAAACTGGGGCTGGTGCCTCAGGAAATTTGGGCACTGTAAGCTTTCCCTGGTCCCCAGGCTATCCTGGGACAGCAGAGGATCACTCAGGCATAAGCCCATCCATGGGCACCAATCACAGTCCCAGCCAGCCAGAGGAGAGCCTATGGATAAAAAAATCCCATGTCACAGACAGGCAGGCAGATCACCAGAGGCTCCAGCTCAACTATCATGTCAGGGTGGCTGTGGCAATATCAGGCTAAGTCTTGGGATTCTCCAAGGGTGGAGATGCCCCAGCTTCCTTTGGCTGTTCCAGGGTCACTCTCCTGAGGAGCAATTTTATTCCAAGATTCAACCTGAATCTTCCAAGCTTCAGCTGGTGACTGTTTTACCCCATTGCATCATCCAGCACCATCAAGAAGGGTTCAACTTCATCATGAAGCTGTGGTAGATTTGTGGAGATTTAAGCTGATTAACAGGGAAAGGTTCTTCCCCAAGAGGGTGGTGGGGCACTGCCCAGGCTCCCCAGGGAATGGGCACAGCCCTGAGGCTGCCAGAGCTCCAGGAGCATTTGGACAGCGCTGCCAGGGATGCCCAGGGTGGGGTTGTTGGGGGGTCTGGGCAGGGCCAGGAGCTGCACTGGATGGTCCCTTCCAGCTCAGGATATTCTGGGATTCTGTGACCTTAGTCACCGGCTTTTCTCAGAATCCTTCCCCCAGCCCAGCCTTTCCCCCTCCTCCTGGTGCGATGTGTGCCAACTCCATGAGCATCTTGATATCTCTTGTCCAGGCTTCCAGTTTCTTCACATCCCTCTTGAACTAGGAGACACTTCCTTCAGATGTTTGCCTGTGTCCTTCCAGCAGCTTCCACTACGGGCTTTGCCTTACCTGAGGAAAAACAACAAGTTGATGTTCACTCTGAGGTTCTCTGTTGCTTCCAGCGTCTTTTCAACGGGGTCTTTTCAGCTCAGACAGCTCAGAATCTTCCAGTCATGTCCTGTGATGCTCTGGGCCATGAAAGACATGGGTGAGGCATTGCCACACCTCAATATCATGAAGGGCTGATAAATCTCTTTTCCAGGCATCCTGCAGGCTTTCTTCCCACCACTGCATGTTGGATATCTTTGACTGACAGCTCCCTGTGATAGACACCAGTGAAGAGGTCTTGTTCAGGGGTTCAGCAGAGGCTGAAAACTATCAATCTCCCTGCATCTATGAGTTCCACCAGGGAATGATACATACTTGCTTGTTCTGAGCTGCTTTCCTGGGCTGTTTCGGGCAGGCAGAAAACTTTGACCTCAAGGAAAAACCCTCAGAACTCAGTTATAATGCAGGGAAATCAGGTGTTGTGCTCCCCTGAGACAGAGCAGGATCCACCTTCCCTGATAGACAGATAGGGCTTTTGGTGACAACATGATGGCCATGGCTGAGGAGAAGTTGTGGGAGTGTCTGTGATGGAGCCACCAGCCCTCCGTTCCACCAGCACATTATCCATGGGATCAGAGGAGCATGGTGACACTTTTGGCTCATCCTCTCCTCCATCAACACCACAACACTAATCTTCCTCTCATTTCCTTCTGATTTCCCAAAGCAAAGAAGGAGCCATTGGGTTGGACAACAGCATGTTTTTTTGTCTCAGCCAGCAAGCAGCAATAAGAGCCAGCCTGCTGCCATCAATTCATTTCCTGTTTCAGGCTTTACCAAAAATAAACTCAGAAGGAAAACTCCAAAGAGAATGAAACACATGGGAGACAACTCAGAACTCTCAAAACTATATAGGAAATTTCTCTCAGTGTTCGCTAGGAACAAGGATGGCAGTGTCAGAGGGAATTTCATGCTGGATGGGGGGACTGTGAAGGGGTTTGGGCAGCTCCATCAGGTTTATAGGGATATAAATATATATACAGCTGACACTTCCTGTGGCTATGTTACACGTGGGGAAATGGCCATTTCCTTCTTTGCCTCACAAAGAGGATGCAGGGTCCTGACTGCCTTCCCCAGCACACTTGGCTCCAGGGATGGCCAGGCTGGGGACGCTGCGATGTCCCCAGGCCATATGGGTGACATCCTCGTGCAGCCACCATCCAGCTGGCACTGGGCTGTCTGCTGCCAGGCTGTGTGGATCACCCCAGCTGGGACCCCAAAGAGTTGCAGTCACTGCAGCACCACCAGAATAATTTCCCATTCCTCAGCACAGCCATTGGCGACCTCATTAACATCTCTTGGGAATAGTTGGGGTTTGAGGAGGGCTCTGGTGGTGTTTCAGTGGCAAGAAATAGAAGCCTTTTGCAGGCCATCAGCTGTTTCTTGTGTGCTCTCCCAGTGCCCACCAGCTCCACTCCATGCAGGTAGCACCGAACCCACAGAGCCAAGAATGGGCACTGCAGTGATCCTGCAGCCATCCTGCAGCCATCCTGCAGCCATCCTGCAGCCATCCTGCAGCCATCCTGCGGGATGGCAGCTCCAGCATCAGCCCCCAGCAGGAAGAAGAAAGCTGTGTCCCAGGGGTCTCTGTGATCATGAGTGCTGGCTCCGGGACCCTGGCAGCAGCCCTGGCATGGCATGGACATCTTGATTCAGCACCCACAGCTTTGCCTTGGGATGGTGGAACCTCTGGGTGGGTATTTGCAGCCTTTTCCCTCATGAGGAGATAGGCAGGGGGGGTGGGGAGTAGTTTGTCTCTGAACTCTGTGCCCAAGATGCCACAAAACATGGGACATTGATAAAAATACGTATTCCAGGAGTATATGCACTCACACAAAAAAAATGTGTGTATATATTACATACATAATTTTCCTAAGTCAATATATATTATATATAAATATAATATAAAAATATATTTTTATGCACTCCTATACACTCCTGGAGTAAATGTCTTTCTATTTCCATATTTATTTTCATATATAGACACCTACACTCTCCTATATACTCCTGCAGTACATGATACATATACTTCCAAATATATAACATAGATTTATACACTTCCATAGTTTTATGTATGCAGTTATATATATATATATATATATATATATATATATATATAACTCGAGGTCGAGGTCAGGCTGAGCCTACCCACAGCATGCAGGTGCCAGCCCCATCCCTGCTAGCCTCATGGCAGTGCCACCCAGGTACCTCTCCACACCGTGCCCACAGACCGGGTTTTGGGACTCTGAATCCAAGAGTGCTGGGTACTTCCAGGTGACTCCAGCAGGGCAGCAGGATGTCTGGCAGGGACTTCACCTCCCAGCACCATCCCAGCGGCAGCTCCGGGCTCTGCAAGCAAGACCTGGCACCCCTCTAAAGTCTTTTTGTCCCCAGTGATGGGCACTCAGGGCTGGGCAAAGCCACGGTCCCCTCCTCTGTCCTGCCCTCTGCTGCAATGCATTACACGGGCTTCAAAGCGGGGATGCATCTTCAGCTCATCGAGACCTGCAGGGGTGCTTCTTCAATCCCCACGGTCCTGCCTGAAGGATGGGGGTCCCATGAATGTGCTTTAGCGGGGCACATTGCCCTGAGCACCG